GAGAGAGTTGTACGGACATATACTTTTGTCTACGCATTGTCTACGCATTGTCTACGTGATTAAATCACAATTTTAATTTTTTGGACTGGGTTTTATTATTTGTGGCTGGTAAATTGCGTAGATTCTGATCTACGATGAGCCATTACACATAGATTACATAGAGATAATGAGTCATACTTTCTGTCATTATTATTAGGCGCATTCCAACAATGAAATGAATGAAGAAATCCACATTTCACTTTTGATTGATTTGATTGAGATAACAATAATTAAGTATGAATGATAACGAAAACCTTTATACTTTTATAATTTTGCAAATCAGTTATATTTTTTTAAACAAAAATTTAATATTAAAGGTTTTTATTAATTATTATACGTGTAAATTGAAATATGTTATATGTATGCATGTCTCTATTTTAACATTCTTCTAATTCACAATTAACTTTAAGCGGTATAATTCACATGGAATTAATGGCATTCGAGAAAACTCGTTTTTTAAATTGATTTTTAAAAATGTATGCGCGACGAATTTAATATCTTCATTTAGCAAAAATGCTGAATTACACATCTCTGACACACATAATATTATTTTATCCGTCCATCTAAATTATTCTCCATAAATTTAATCTTTATGTTCTTAAAATTTTCTTTACATCCTCGAGAAGAGAGGAACATTGAGCTCAATCTTCATTATCCATTCAGCGGCCAAATTTATCCGCTTGTTCGCTCATGGCATCGTGCCGAGGTCGGGAAAGATCTTTTTTACCGCGCAGCGCCGAAGATACATAAAGTTACAAAGGTCATGCCGGGCCGCGTCTGTTCCGACGCGGTCCTTTGAAGTGGTTTTCGCTGGTCTACGAGTATTAAACGGGTTCACCTGATCGTAATGCAGGCAATAACCGCGGCAGATTATTCGGGACGAAAAAGCCGCGGCGGTGGGCGGAAGAGCCGAACGACCGGAAGCGGCATGGCGGTATTCCCTTTGATACGCGCCAAGGCGTAGCTTTTTAGAAGCTCGCAAGATGCTGCGTTTACGCGCTCCGTCCGGCTTGGAAGCGTAAACGTTGACGGATCGGTGTAAATGAAGTTAACCCCTCGGAAAGTTGGTCGGTCCCGCGTGAGAATGGTGTGCACGAAAAATTTCGCCCGGCATTCGCAAAAGTAGGTTTCGCATGATGTTGCGCATTAATTATTTGAGTTACTGTAGAGCTTTTTTTACTGGAACATTTTTGTAGAGTTTAAATTTTTACATCTATATTTGTATCGGTAAATCTGTTCAATATTATTTCTATGCATTGATTGATAAAAACATTTTTTGCGCCCGGAGAATCACGCTTTAGTTCACGCTATTTTTTCTCTACTAACTTTTTTTACATCTTGAATTTAAGATTAAGAAAATCATTAATCGTTTGAAACATATTCTGCATTCTTTCTTCATGTTTCTCAAGTTTGTTAAGAGTTGAAAAAGTGACGACCCCGATTATAGGCGCTAATTGTCGATGCGGGATATACAGCAGTCGCGTCACGAAAGGCTGGAAAAGCGGATAATTAATTAAGGTTCAATCTTGATCGTGCGCCATGAATCGTTCAGACATAAAAGTGCACACCGCATATATAATATGTAATTAGTTAACCGCTGCCGTCGTTACCACCGCTAATTGACACCGACCGTGCGTTGCGCGTCGCCTCTCGCAGGCATCCCTAATTACCGTTCGCAAAGATCGGATCGCAGAATCGGTGTGGCGGGTTTAGGTCGCATCGGTTTGCCCCGGCACGTGTTACATACTATGCTAATTGCGAATAGAGAATCGCTATTCTTCGTCGTGACTTGGCAATAATTAAATCGGATTCGGTTTAGGGAAAGCGCGATCCCGATATACTTATTAAACATAATAAGCTTTTTATTGCGCTAATACAACCGTCTTTCGTAAGAAGTCTAATATGGCAATTAATTCGAGAATGTGAATAAATAAGATCTTGTGTTTTAATTAATTTTAAGAAAACGCTACGCTAATAGAGATTTTATTTATAACTTAATTGTCAAGATGCTCAATACCGAAGATTACAATTAGATTGCATCGACAAGACTTTTCAGAAATTTTATTTTCGCGCTTTTGCGCGCCGCACTGAGCAATTTCGCCTACCGCGCGCCGGATCGATTAATTGAATTAACTCAATCGAGCCGCAGACGCGACCGCGCGCGTATCGAGCGCAGTCGAAAGTCAGACCCGATAACACGATAACTGGGAGCGCGGCGATCGCTTCCGGTCGCGGGTATAAAAGCGGGATCGATATCCGATCGCGCGTAGATATATCGGGCCGCCGAATCGCGTCACGCCTCGATTAACTGTTTTCGCACGGCTCGCAATTTGTGCGCGAACGATTACGCGTTTACCACCCGCGGGATAATAATGCAACGCATCGCGCGAATCGCGAGATTTTCAATCGTCTCCCCTTCCTCCTCCCCCGCAGCGGCAGCGGCAACGGCAACAACAACGGCGGCATCGCGCGTTGCTGCTTTCGCGATACGCCGCGCTGTGTAATTACGATAATCCGCTGATGATATAATTTACGAGACCGCATCGCTACCCGCGCATTTATCACACGAGGTAATTTCCTGCTTTATTATAATAATATCCGGGGTAATATGCCTCCGCCTGCGCGCCGAATACCTTCTTATTTTCGAGCACGCCGCTTCTCTTCGTTAACCGCCGCGCGTACCGCCTTAGCGCGACGTTAATTATTTTCGCACAGTTGCCGACTTGCATTTTCGCGTCGCCGCACTTGGTGCCGGGGCTGTATGAATTCTTTTAATTGCGACTGGTAATTTGAAAATTCGCAACATTTGTGCTTCGCGAATCTTTGTACAAGAGTTAAAGTATATAAGGATTCTCTCAATTGCAGTAGTGACTTTTAATTTTTCTCCGCGGTTTGGTTAAACAATTATTTATTCGAAAAAATATCACGAATTCCATCTTCATCGAAAGTTAAGAGTTCAATTACGATAGAAGAATTTAACCGCGCAGCTTTGTGTGAGAAGATTCAATGCTCTCTCTCTCTCTTTTTTTTTTTTGTTTCTACGGGAATTCGAGCCAGTTAAAGTCGACTTATCTCCGGCGAAATGCTGCGTTCGAAACGACTCGCGAGATATTCGACGAAATAATATCTCTAGGTGCAAGCGGAGGGTGAGAGGAAAAAGCGCCGGCGATGCAGGGTAAGCGGACTCCAACCCCCATTCATCTTCGACGCTCGTTCCGGCCGAGGATAACGCTATTTCGACCGTAATACTTCTGTCGGAGAATCGCACAGCGGAAAAAGTAGTTCGGCATTGCAGCTGCCGGCGCACGCGTACTTTCCGGCTTCTCGACAAACGGCAATAACGATGATAATAGCGCGGCGAATCGTAAAGGGGGGGGGGGGAGGGATGAGAGGAGATTTTGGGAAACTTTCTCTTGGATATAGACGTAAACGAAGATGCGAAGACAGTTTTGTTGATCGATACAGCTTGGCATGGCAAAGATCTTGATTCTCCATTTTCTTATTTTGCGTATTCTATTTTCTGCTTGCTGAGAAATGACAATAATTAGCGCTAGGTAGATAAAAATAAAGAGATAAAGAATGAAACAAGATTTATAAAATACCGAAGTGTTTTTATGATGTTAGAATGAATGTTTAATCGATTTTTTTTCATCTACACATCCTGCCAATTCTTTTTTATAAAATAATAAAGATAATATTTTCTATATATAATGGGGGAGAAGATAAAAAGTTTTCGTGAAACATTTGATCACATAATGATCTGAACTATATGACGATTTACATCAAGGAAACGCACGCGTAAATGCAACGTGTAAATGCAAAATAAGAGCGCACGGAAAAAAAATCGATAAAAAATCGGTATTCTGATCACCGTGCAGATGAGCGCGGTGCAACGCGTTTCTGCGGAGATATTCACAAATCTTGAAAGGTGCCGACCAGATGAAGCGAGATTCGAAAGATGGGAAGTACGCGATGGAGGAGCGGGATCGAGAATAATAAGAGCGCGATCAGCGAAGTGTAGCGTATCCGCGGTGGTAGACGTTGACGGGATTTCTCAGAGAAGTGTACGACGGTGTACTCCCACGCTCCCACTCGACTCGACGGACAAACCCAGCCGAGGACGAGCCACCCGAGCAACCATCATCCACCCGCCCATCCACCACCTAGCCAGCCAGCAGTGAGCTAACCACCCACCTGCGTTAGTCGCGGCCGCCGCTGCCGCTGACGCCACCGCCGTCGCTCGACCGTGTGTTTAAAGCTCCGCCAGTAAAACAATAAATTGCGCTCGAGAGAGCGGCGTGAGTGAGAGAGCGAGAGAGAAAGAGAGAGGGAGGAAAAGAGAGACGAGAGTCGCGGCATACTAGCGCGGAGGAAAGCGGTCCCTGTCAGCAATTGCCCCCCTCTTGTAAGAAAAAATGGCAGCTGCTGTGGCTGGATGGCGCGTACGAGACCATAATACGGTGCGCCACCCTACCGTGCTCTGTACGTGTGGACGTCGAGCGCGCGAGCGCGACGGGCGGGGCGGGCTGTCCTGGGTTGGAAGTGGAGGAGAGGAGGACGAAGAAGAGAGAGAGAGAGGAAAGATAGGGGGAGAGAGAGAGAGGACATGGACGTGCAGTGGAGAGAAAGAGAGAGAAGGAAAAAAGATAAACGGCGTGGAAAAAAGCAACGTGCGACGAGGAGAGACGACCTGGCTGAGCAGCGACGACTACGATGACGACGACGATGATGACGAAGACGACGACGAGGACTACGGCGGCGACGACCACCACCGACTGACCAAGAGAACGAGAGAGAAAGAGAAAGAGAGAGAGAGAGAGCTCTTCCTGTGGAGCGTGTTCGTCTGTATGTATCGTCGGCTCCCGGTTGGCAGTTTCGGTCCTGACACAGGCGTGAGAGAGACAGAGTGAGTGTGTGAGTGAGTGAGTGAGTGTGTGTGTGTGTGTGTGTGTGTGTGAGAGAGAGAGAGAGAGGGGGATGCGTACTGGGGTGAGAGAAAGAAGCGGTAATAACGTTCGGGCGAACCTCGAGGTGGAAGAGAACCCCGCAGGCGGGCGGAGCTGGGTGCTGATCCCGGAGGCGGAGCGTTGTTGTCGAGGTACAACCCACCGGCATCCGACCGGGTATCCTCTCCTCTCGCTCCCGCCCGTGTTTACCGTCCCTTCGGCTCGTCGTGACCGACGGGGGTGGGGACCGAAACGAAGAGGCGACCGGTGGAGGCGCGGGTCAGTCTCTCGGGCAACCGGTCGGTCTGTCGTTCCTTTGCTCTGTCCGCGCCACGTTTCGCTCCCGCGCGACCCAAACGATACATCAAGTAGCTCCGCTTTTCACGCGCGCGCGCGCGCGACAAAAGAGCGACTGTGTGCCCGCGACGACGTAACTTTCCCTCGGCTAACTCGCGCCGTCGATGGAGTGCCACTCCGGCGTGCCGTTCGTCGACGTCAATTGCTGCGGATCACACGCCGACCAGCACGCCGATCGCTGAATGTCTCACGGCTAGATATTTAGCATCATTTTAGTGTTGTGCTCCGGATCTGTTGTCAGCACGCTCCGATAGGAACCCTGTCTGTCCGCTCGAATTCACTCGCGTCGCGCGTGATCTTTGCTCTTTCACGCGTACGCGCGCGCATGTCGACGACCGGGAGTCGGTGTTGACTCTTGCGATCGCGTGGAGAGGATGCTGATGCCGCTTCACCGGCGCTCGCGTCTAGAGAACAGAAACCGGCATCATCTCGCGGATAGCAATCATCGGCATCGCGATCATCGGCAACGTCGCGGCGCACGACGCCCGTAGCGACGTCGCGACGTCAAGCGGATCGGCCTCGAGACGCGCTTTGATTAGATCGTCGGTAGACCCCACGTGGCTCAAGAAGCAGCGCGCGAGGTGATGTTGCTGGAGTCGCGAGGCCTCGCCGGTAGGAAGAGAAACGGACTGACACTGACCTCGTTCGGCGGCGGTGGCGGCGGCGGTGGCGGAGGCGGCGGCGGTGGCGGTGGCGGAGCCGGCAGCGAGGAGGACGACGAGGAATCCCGACATCACCTCTACCTGGGCAGGAAGATGCAGGGCGAAGGCACCGCCGCCCCCGCGGTTTCCACCGGTCTGTCTGGATGCGCCGGCGACGACGGCGACGAGAGCTCGAGCCCGTCGCCAAACAGCAGTCTCTTGAACAACCTAAACAACAATTGCAATTCGAATCGACAATGCGCGACCGACTTCAGCATCGCCGCGATCATGGCGCGGGATTCACGCCAGCAGCAGATGCAACAGCAACAGCAGCAGCAGCAGCAGCAACAGCAGACGCATCATCACAGACATTCGCAGCAGCAGGCCGTCGGCGGCGGCAAACTGCATCAACACGGTGAGTCTCTTCGGTAGAAGCGGGTGATCGAATCCGGTGAATGTTTCGAAGGTGTCATTCAGCAGATTTTGCCAAGTGCGACGAATCTAGAAGTGATTTATTGACGGCGGGATGTGAGAATAGATAGATCTGCTGAAGAATTTCGAGATGAAAAAAAATGTGAAATATTCGTGCGCAATCACTAATATACGGTTCATAGTTTATTTAAAGGAAAATATTTAAAAGTTTATGGAATATTTTTTTCATTGCAATTAATAGAAAAGCTTACGTGAATAATTTGTGCAAGCAGAATCAACTTTGATATCAAGAAGTAGATAATATTACAGATAAATATTTAGGAATTCTGACTGCTTCGTTTTCGGGATATCACGATTTAAACAACATTAACATTGAATTCTGACGTTAAAATTTGTATGAAAATATTTCACGTAACAGCGGGACATTGCAACAATTTGCTCCGTCAGTATCTAGAAATATTAAATATGATCACGCATGTTATATTTCAGCGACATTAGCTCTAAATTCAATTACATTTATTCCTCCGAAAATTTCGCAGTATAAATCATATCAGTATAAATATAAATCACATGCTTCCCTTTTGATTCGCGAAAACTCGTTACTCAACAGTCGCGTAATTGACGTTTCACGTCAGTGTATTATTCAGCTGTTATTCGTCAATTATTCATCTGTCGCTACAACTATATCGCAACTCTAATTTATTGCTAGAAAATGCGTCAAAGAGAAGCGCTGCTACCAACAACAAGAATTAAGTAGTTCTCCAACAAATAGACTAAAATGTTACAAAATGCATCGAAAGAAAACAAAACGCGGCTATCAGCAATGAGAATTAAACATGATTGACAATCCACAATATTTCATATCTAAAATTTGATTAATTTCTAATACGCGATTGAGTAAAAAGATCAGTACAATTTGTTGCTGACGTTTCGCTCGAGTTGCAACAGTTTTTGCAAAATATTTGTCTCGCGATCATAGTTTATAAATGAGCAGCAACTTTATTACACACCTTTATTGTTATCGTACCTCTCGCAAGCGCATCGTCGCGCTTGGATATGATATTGCGCGAGTCATAACTCTCTTCATGCGGTGCACTTCTCTTGCCGGCGCATTAACTCGAAGAAAAATCGCTAACCCCTTTCGGTACGGCCATCCATAACGTTTAATGCGGCCATTCCCGACGAAAATGGAGCGGCCGATCTATCGCGCGATTTTTGCGTCGTACGCCTCGGCCTACCTGTCCGCCGTCACGCATCATTATTTTTATTATCCCGTTAAAAACTTGCCAATTAATTTTCGACCATTAACATTTATCGCGCACGCCGTTCATGCTCCAATCCTTTTGGAACGTCTTGACGTCGTCACGTTTGATTGGAGGGCAGCGGGGTCCATGGGATAATTGCAAAATATGCGAAACGTAGGAAGTGATAAAAATACAGGTAACTCTCGTATAACACGATACTTCGAGAACACGCTTTTGATATAACACGGTCTGAAAATTGCGGGAGCCCTCGTATAACGCGGTACTTCGAGAACATGGTTTTAATACAACATCGTCTGAAAATTGCGGGAGCTCTCACGTATAATATTATGCATTTTTAAAATCATTAAAAATCTGTACCAAGGCTTTTTTTAATTTTCGGAACGGAATCCCAATTTTTATATTATTTTATGATTATATTCATCATATAACATGGTTTCGAATAAGTTTTTAATTGATTTCGATGCAATACAGAACGAATTTTCATATTATCCGTTAAACTCGAAGAATATTTGTACATAATTGTATTTATATGAATGATAAATGCACAAAATTATGCTGAAATAACTTATTTTGAAATAAAAAGTATTTCTATATTTTTTAAACTTTTAAATATAGAAATAATTGCTATGTATACTTTCGTTCTATGCAACTCCAGTTTATGCACGACGCGAATAAATTTTTCGAACTTTTATGGTGGAGTCTTTAACCTCGCTGCAAAGTTCTACGAAAAAAAAAAAAAAACGAAATAAGACATGTCTCAATGTCGAGAAATAAAATATGGTGACAACTTCCTCGACGGAACAGTGAATTGCGCGGAAAGTTTCCCCGGCTTCTCGCGTTTAAGTATTAATTCCGGAAGCTCCGATGACGCACGTCGAAACTTGGACTGTAATTACTCGCTTGCTGGCGATTGTCAACATTAACTGTGTAAAGCCCCTATAGCGTTCGATATTATCGCAAAAATTTTAACACGAGTAATATCGCGCTGATAACATCTCTTTGAAATGCTCCCACGCATCGAATAATTAGCACGAGTATTGACGATAAAATAATTATATAATAATTGTTACAATGTAATATCTTTGAGCGCGCGATATACGACTGATACGAAATTAAATTTATTATACTGCTATGTACACATTTGCAGCACTATATTGCTACGGTATTACGAATGGAACATTGATGGAGACTTGCAGTGTTAATTAAGGCAATTCTCAAGATGCCAAACGTAGCGGAAACTACCGTTTCTGAAATTGCTTCGTTACTTCATCTCTGCGCAAGACATCTGCCGGCATCTAGAATATTTGCTTATTAAAAAAGATATTCGCGGTTAAGTAAAGGGTTTGAGTGCTAAGGTGCGACGAGCGTAGAAACACGCTCGCCATCGCGTTTTAATTCGCGCATTTGCGGACGTAAAAATGTCGACGAGGAAAATTACAAGCTGGCGCGGCGCTCTAATGAGGCCCTCTAATATAGAAATTGTTCCGAACTGTCATTATCGAGATAAATGGCCGGCGAGGGCCGCGGCACGGCACTGGGGACGAAAGCGGATCGTTTTTGTGAGGAAACGGGATAATGGCCCGTCACTTTCGTTTCTTTTAACGACCGAAAAAGGCGTCCGGGAGCGGGAATTCGCGCGGCGAAGTCACTTCGTAATCTGTCGCGCACATTTGGATAGCTATATCTCATAAATGGAAGGTAAATTGACCTGAGACGCTATACTACTCGATATGCACAGAAATTACTGTACGTAGCAAGAGAATTATTATCCCTATAGCAGAGGTGTAATAGGAGCTGTTATCATACAACTGCATCATGGATTATTACTGATAATTTCACTAATAATTTCGCTACATTTCACAAGTGAACATAATCAATAAAAAGTTTGCGCTTACTGTCTCACTATTTTTTTTTAAATTACGTAATTACGTAATGATGTATAATTTGTGGAATTAAGCTATCTTAAAAAATGAATTTAATTGTTTCAAGGATATATCAAATCAGATAAGAAAGACGCCTTTGCATGTTGTTTGCCATTATACACACGTAAGAGATACCCATAATGAATTGTAGAAGTTCAATAACGTTTAATTAAATTCAGGTGCATTGTAATAGCAATGTTTTCCAAGTGTTTCCTTCGAAAATCGTTCACAAAATATTTGGTTATGCGGCTGATAATGGAGATTGGGTTGTAACGAATTTCGGTGCGTTCGCGGTTCCGGTAACGACCGTAAATTATTTCGGCATTAATGAATTATTTAACGCACACCGGCGTGAATGAAATGGTAAATAATGTTACCGCCTAAATCGTCGAAATCTGTTCTCGCGAAATAATTAATCGCAAATATTTTGTGCAAAAAAAGAACCACGCGATCTTTCGTCGCTTTAGAAACTCGTTTGCAAAGTACGCGCGGGAATAATATCCAAAATGACCAGCACAACTGTTACTTGTTTTAATGCAAATGAATTATGCTAGGTATAAACGAGAACAAATTAATAGACTATTATAAATTGAATAAACAAGTCAAAGAAATCAATTTCAAATAGTTGACGTGATTTCGACAAATGTAAATAAATTTTTGACTGCATGTAACAATTTGAAATTTTAAAAATTGTTGTACATACACTAACTTATTTGCATAATCTAGAAATGAATAAACTCATTTAATTTCTTTAAATAAGGTTTCTCATTTTGTGTAAACTTGTTTCTCGACACATGTTAACTTATGGTAGCAATAAATTTTTATATGTAGGCGCATTTTAATGCTATTTGCATAGACACGTGTCCTTAGTTTTACATAATGATAAGTGAAAGATAACCTCGCTAGTTATTCCGTGATTCATTATCAAAATTGACTTTATTGGCTATTTACTAAGAAAACCTAGGTGATATTTATATTATCAGGCGAGATAAGGGACACTTACATTATTTAGGAAACGCATGTTGTGTCTAATTGGGGATGTTATTTACATGTCAGGTATGGATTTTGTTTAGAATTACAAATTTCGGTTAATTGACCAGGTATCGAGTGGGCCTATTAGAAACAGCGGCGGAATAACGAGATTCGAGACACGCATAAATTGTTGCCGCCACGCTAATGAATAATTTAATGCTCGTCGCGCGTCAGTGAAATTCGAGTTCTGACTAGAAATCCTCAAATTTAGCTTTATCGATATTTAATTTTTCAAGATTGATCCTATTCACTCTGCATTACAAGTCGATAATAGAGACATTACGTACAAAATTACAAATCTACGTAAAACACCTTATCAAGCTTTTAAAAGGTCATTACTATAAAGATATAAACTTTCGATCCTCGAGTAGGCACTCGAACTCATAATATTAGAGAATGCGATAATTTAATTAATTTAGTCGTTTCTTTAATATGTTTATAACTATTTTATTGAGCATTAAAAATTTTTAAGATAAAATCTGACTTTAAGAATTTAATACGCACTTAGCTGCTTTTTATGAAATCTTTATCCACTTGCTGGGGGTTAAATATTGAAACTTGTTCTATTCATTTTTCTTTTACGATGTTGGCTACCGGAAGGGCATAATTAGGATCGATGGCACCTAGTGAAATATATAATTATGATCGCGGGCGAGTTGAGGTGAAACCCGAAAAACCCGTTGTTCTTCGCGCGATCGACCAGGTGAGGTGTCCCATCGGAATTCTGGAAACGGCCGTGGCCGCTCTCCGGGCCCAGCCAGACG